CATACAAATATATGAAAAGCTGTTCAACATAATTAATCATCAAAGAAATGTAAATTAAAACCTCTATATCACCTCATAGAGGTTAGAATGCTTATGACAAAAAGTAAAAGATAACAAATGTTTGTAAGACTCTGAAAAAAGGTAACCTTGTACACTATTGATGGGTACAGACATTATTAAAAATAGTGTCCATTCTTTAAAAATTAAAAATCTAACTGAGATTTGATCTAGCAATTCTACTTTTAGCTATATATACAAAGGAAATGAAATCAGGATTTGGAAGTGATATCTATATTCCTTTGTTAATTGCAGCATTTTTAACAATTGTCAAAGTATGTAAATGTGTGTGTCTGTTGGTGATAAAATATTATTCAATCCTGATAAAGAAACTCCTGTCATTTGGGACTACATGGATGAACCTGGAGGACACAATGCTAAGTAAATCAAGCCAGACACAGGAATCAAAATATTGCATGATATCACTTTGTATATAAAATTTAAAGTTCCAAATTCACAGGAGCAGAGAGTTGAATTGTAGTTGACAGGAGCCCAGGGATAAGAGAAATTGAGAGATGTTAGTCAAAGTGAACGAAGTTTCAGTTAATTGGGATCAATAAGTTCTGAATATCTAAGGGATAGCAAGCAAGATGATTATACTAAATGATACTGCATTGTGCAGGGAATTTACTAAGAAAATATATCTTAAATTTTCCCACCACACACACAAAAACACACATACGTACACAGACATACATGTGCACCCACACACAGAGACTTTGTAAGATGATTGATATGTTAATTGGCTTAATTATGGTAATCATTTCACAATGGATACATATATCAATGCATAACTTTGTATGCCTTATATAGATACAAGTTTTATTTGCCAATCGTTCCCCAATAAAACTGGAGGAAAAGTATTATTGCTCTAGTTCTTCAACACATACTGATTTAAGTCACTTCAAGGTATTTGCATGAAATACTGTGTAGAAGTTGTAGATAAGAAAAAAATCAGAAACTTTCTCAATTTTCTAGAAAAGGACAGCTATTTTTGTTTTCTGCATATCTATCTGACTTTGATTTTTCCAAATATTTTTCTTCACTAGAAGAAATGAATATATATTATTTGAAGAATGCCTAGCAAGTTGATATATGGGGTTTTCTTGCATTCAAGTTCCCTTAAAAATTCTCTCAAAAAATTTTTGTAGTCATGATAACTTTCTCCAAGATATTCCAATTGCTTCCTCTGTAAAAGTCATATAGGATTTTCCCACAGTTTATACTCATCTGAAATGAGCTATTTAGCTCATCTGAGAAGCAGCTGTGTAGAACCGAGGAAGGCAGTGGTACAGATGAACCACTATTAGTAAACAAAGCAACAGGAAGACAGTGAAAAGAATAGAGGGAGGAGAAATTAGAATCTATTCAAACCAAATATGCTTGCATGATGAGGAAGAAGGTTTTTTCCTGCCAACTCAGTAAATGTTTAATCTGGAAAAGCATGCTTCTACATCTGGTTTATGTTTAATATTACAAATAGTACCTCTCTCATTATCGTATTTTATTTTATATAAATTTCAGTTTAACAAAAATAAAATAAAAGTCAATGGAGAAATACGTTACTTAAATATTAAATATTTCAAATAAAATATCCAAAATCCAAAATATTATGTGTTTACTAAAGTCTTTGAATCAAAACTGAAAACATTTAAACATGAATGAAGTAATATATGGAATATTTCTTTTAAAGTCTCAGAATGACCAAACTGGTAATTATTTTGGGATCTATGCAATACAGCATAATTTTTTAAGTAAGAATAATTCATATAAAAGAAAATTTAAAGGAAAATTTATTTATTTATTTGTTTAAGAACAATATCATAACACTTGTATGCAGAAATCAACTGTTCCAAACTAAATTATTCCTTTATTTTCTGAGGAACTACTCAAAGATAGCCTTCTACTTTTCGTAATCAGCCAAGAAATTATTATGTGGTTTTGGGGGGGGGGTTCCTGGCCCTTCTTTCTGGAGTTTGAAAAGGTCAGATCATGTGTAAAGCAAGTCACTCCACAAAAAGAAGATAAATGACATAAATTGAGAAGTGTACCTTCCTGGAAAGAGAAATAAGAAAAATTGAGTGATAATTTTTCTCTGCTTGTGCATGTAATAATAAAGATATTAATATACATTTTGGAGTTTATAGAAAATTTTTATAAGCATTATGTCATTTTGATATACCTTCACCTGTAAATTTTCACTTGTTATATATAATGATTCAGAATAATAAAACATAATCTATTACTCTAGAAATGTTATAATAAAATACCTGCAAAGTATTACAGGAACACAATCTAAGGGGTGAGTAAGCAATACTTTGCAGGTATTTTATTATAACAAATTTGTTCTAAAAAATGAGGAGGGGAGCCAGGGATTTAGCTCAGTGGATCCAGTGCCTGCCTTGCAAGCGCAAGGTCCCAAGTTCAATCCCCAGTACCAAAAAATAAATAAATAATACTAAAAAAAAAAAATGAGTGGGAATTCAGAAAAAAAAAAAAGAATTAGATGTATATACCAACTCCCCACAAGGAACGTAAACCTTAAGTACTATAAACATGTAAAAATAAAAAAAATGAAAACAACAATTTAAACATAAAATAGGGGAAAATGAGTAGAAATCGGCCTAATAGAAAAGTGGGGGGCCAGGTGTGAAAAAATCTTAGCAGGAGCATAAAAAAGAGAGGCAAATTTTAGGAACTATGAGAAGCTGATATCTGACTAGCAATCTTAAGCCCTATTCTGGAATCAAACTGAAATGTAATATAAGACCCACAGGAAAAGAGGAAGGTGGGCTGGCAGGAGTTCTTCAGAAGGTATCTCAGAGAAAGATTCCTGATTACACAAGAAATGGAACCTTCTGTAAGCTCCATGTTATGAAATTTTAAATATATATATTAGCATCTATGTGAGCTAAATGATGCCTAGCATTGGGAATTCATCAGTGGAAAGTAAAAATCTAGCTCTTCTCTTGGAATGCTTATATATTCTGGTAGACAAGATAGACACAAAAATTATTAAATGTACTGATCAGGATGTTTACAGATAACAGAGTCTACTGAGGCTACTTTAAGCACAAAGGACATTAGTAAGGATATTAAAACTTTACAAAACCACCAAGAATGTGAAGAAACAGACCCTTCTACATTCAGTTTATCTAATAACTCTAAAGGCCACACCGAAGAACTAAGTCTGCAAAGAAGCTACAGCCTCCACCACAGCAGAAAATTGCACAATCATGAAGCTTCCACACCTGTGGACAGCACCAGAAATGTGTTTCTGTAACAATCGGGAGCCACTGTATCAGGAAACTTCTGCCTCACCTGGAAGCTCTAGAATGGAGCCTTTTCCTCCATAATCTGCAAGATTGTTGATTTATGTCCTGTCTCCCCCAAGACATAATTCAGTTGCAAATCATGTTTTCTGTGAGACTTTTTGATTGGTAAAAACTAAGCCTCAGCTTTAAGGTAAACTTAGAGAAGTAGATTTTAGTTCCTATATCTCTGCAGTACAAGAAGGTCCACCAGAGAGGATTTAAAATTAGTATTGAGCAAAATGATCCATGGCACCTGAAGAAAATGATGAGTAAATTAAATGATTTATAATTTTATTGAGAAATTTCTAGGAAACAAATAAGAAACCAAGAGTGTCAACAACCTATAAGGAGTTACTTACTCTACACAAGATGGTCAAGGACAGCCTCTCCGAGGAGGTAAATGGAGGCTAATTCCTAAAAGATGAGAAGGCTTGTGAACTTCTCATGTGAAAAGTAAAGAAAAGATGATTTTAGGAAAAGGTGGCATAGCATCCGAAGTCTGGTAGTTAAAGAACAAGATCTCAGAGCCAATCTTGGTTCAATGTCACTATCCATCATTTGGTTGTGATCTTTGGCAATATCTTAATCACTTTCTTTGTCACTGAGACACAATACCTGACACTCGCAATTTGAGGGAGGGAAGGGTTTTTTTGGCTCATGTTTTAGAAGTTTCAGTCCATGTTCAGCAGGCTTAAACACAGAAACAGCATAGCGGAAGGGCCTGGGCAGAGGAAAGCTGCTCATGTTATAGCAGCCCTGAAGCAGAAGGAAAACAGAGGAGTGGAGAAGAGAGACTATACCCTTCCAGGTCGCACCCCAAGGATCTGTCTCTTCTGACCAGACCCTACATCCTAACAAGTCAGTTGCAGTGCCTCCATGATTTAATCACCTTCCAAAAGCCACACCTATGAGCACGAAGCTTTTGAGGCACACTCTTGATCTAAACTTTATTTAACAGGCAATTATTCAAACTCTTTCATTTATCATACTTATTATAAAGATAGTAATAACTTCTGTATAGAGGGCTACCACGAGGATTATATGAGATAATGTATGTGAAGCACTTAGAACAGCGATTGGCACATAGGATATGCAATAAAAATATTTCCTATTACCATAATTTTTCAAACACATTAAGTTTGAGTTATCCATTTAATATGTTGGAGATCAGAGGTATAGAAATGAAACTCAAGGGCCAGGGATTTAGCTCAGTGGTTTCGCCGACTGCTGCGCAAGCACAAGGACCCGAGTTCGATCAAAAAAAAAAACAAACAAAAAACCTCAAAATATTCAACATTATGTTAGTGATTAAACCTCTAGGAAGGAAGCAACTAACTAGGAAAGAGAAGAGGAAAGAGATATAAAGTGAGAACAGCAAATGTTTCAATATTGGAAAGAAGAACCTAGAAACTAAAAAGGCATTCATATTAATCCATTTTATGACACTCTAAATCAGTTCATGTTTTCCTTTTATTATTTTATATGTTCTGTAACTATCTAATGAATTTAATAGAGACAAAGTAGCAATACCTTTGTCTTGTTATATGTCTTATATTTAAACAATCTATTGAAAATATTACAAATGCTAACGTGTCAAAGCAAAAGATGTATCAGGATTAAGAACTGATTGATGAGTTTAGTTTACCACTAAATGGATTATTACCTGTCTTCTAAATAAATGTACTTCGAGAATGGCTGTGTTCTGATTAGTTACAAGAAAATACATTCATTAAGGCAATTGAGGAGAGGTTGCTTCAGATAAAAGTGGAAGAGTCCTAGAGGCAAAAAATGAAAGAAATAGCAATCAAGGTTTAATAATTCAACTTTAAATGGCAGTACACTATGGAGAAAATTCCATTTCATATGATTGAATAAATAGTTCTTTTAAATTAAAATAATAATAATAATAATAAATAAAACACCTGAGTTTTGGAATCAACCCAATCTTAATTCTAATTCTGGCTTTATCATCTTGGGCAAGTACTTTGCATCTTTGGCTTCCACATCATATAAAAGTAGACAGTAATATCTACTACAGTTTGTTATTATGAGGCACAAGATCATATTAAATGTAAGGTGCACAGCATGAAAGCCATCACACAATAGATGCTTAATGCATTAAGGCATTGTTAATCACTATACTAAGAGTGACAGTCAATGAGTTGTGAAGTTTATTTTTTAAAAAGGGAACAGGTGGCATAAAAAGTATTTACAAAGACAAGTAAAGTAAAATGTTTTATACACCATCTATAGTGTGAACTATAAGAAAAATACATGAAGTACTGAAATAATGTTGATCTTGAAACTGGAAAAGTGGTAGCTGTAAAATATATCACTAACATAGTAAGCAACTCTGCATTGATCAGAGATGAAGATGGACCACTGAGACAGGATTCTCCACTGACTCATAAAGAAAGATGGGGGAGATGTTGAGGATCAAACAAAACACATCCAATATGATATAAAATATACTTTCAGTTTTAGAATTCACTCTTATACATCTGACTAGATTAAGGGTATATACACTACGGTTAAGCAATTTTATTTTTTTAAATCCATTACTTTATGAATAGATTGATTTCTTTGGCACTCTCAGGATCCGCCAGAAAAATTTTCTCCTTATGGCAAAGTATCCAATAAGCAGTATAATGATGCAATGAGTGTTGCAAAATACTCTTAGTAAGTCTTCCACTGAAGTGAAAATAGACCAGAAGTCATTCATTTTCATGTCATCCAAAGTAGCAAACATGTTTTAGAAGTAAATGTGGCTTCACTTTAGCAATTCTAAGATGTTTCATGACCCATAGGTGATGCCACAGGTGTATCTGTTTGGAATTTTAAAACCCGTTGAAATTGGTTTGCTATGCTAATTTTCATCTTATCCTAGTGTCTAGAATAACAGATTTCCAGACTACACATTTAGTAATTAACATTTTATCCCCTTGGCACGATCATTGCCAGCTATTGGTTCAATTCCTTCATTTCTCTTGCTAAAGGATAACTAGGTTAGCTTGAATATGATCAGAGGCTTTTTAAGCATAAAATTTCCAAAGAGAACTCTTAAGTTAAATCTTCTTTTAAAGTTTTAGAATAGTTTTCATTTTTTTTTTCTTAAGGATTGCCAGTTGAATTCTTCTTCCTCCCAAGTCAGCCAACTAACTCTTAGCTTAGGCTAGCATTTGTTTCCCTTGTACCACATTCTGATCTTGCCATTTCTAAAATTGTATATTTTCATGCATGAACATATGCACACACACAGACATTCTGAAGAACAGTTCGGTGTTCTAGTACAGCACTTTTTTGTGATATTTCCAACTGAGTCAGGTGCTTCCTCTCTCTTATTGAAGGATACCCCTAGGTAACATTTCTTCCATGAGAAAGGTTTGAAATTTTTCCTAAGGTAGGAGAAGCAGCAGAACATATAAGTAAGGGAATGAAAATAAAATCTGTCCCAACCATATGCAAACCTACCATAAATCTTTGATAAAGAAAATTTTTCATTTCTTAGTCTTCTTTCTTTCTCTTTTTAATCTGACTTAGGGACTCTCATTGGGACTGCAATATATCACTTATCTGTAATAAAGAAAGGACAGTTGGTTTGTTAACCACATAAAATACTGTTTCGAGTCAACATTAAATTTTATGAATTCAGATTTTAGAGCATTGTTAAAGATGTTTTTAAACTGTCTTTTACCTCCAATTTGATTTTATAACTGTTAAAATCAGAGAATAAACTATTTAACAAAGTAAAAGGGTACGTATATGACATTAAGTTAGTATTTTATTGAATTATATAAATGTCATGCATAGATGCATATTATAAATATCTTTCAAAGAATATTTACCCTGCTGCAGAGAATTTATGGTTATTTAAGTATCTTAGTATAATTTCCTATAACGTGTTACAGTATAACCAGATCATTATAATTAAATTCTTAGACATTTTCAATTAAAAGTAGCAAACCTTTTAAATGGATTTTTGGTTAAAACAAAATGGGCAAATTTAAATCTTTGCTGAGATGATACTGAGAGTTTTCCGCCCTTTTCGGATAAGGATAACTGAGGAATGTTACAAAACATCCTTCTTTTGTCTGCTCTGTCCACGCTGGGCAGACTGACCTCAGAAATCAAATCATGTCTGCCTACGGAAAGATTAGTCATAATCAGTTGTGTATGCCCAGACCATTAATCTGTCTGAGCCCCAAAATAGATTTTTTCCTATTGGCCCAAGAAAAGACCTAAATTTTTTCTCTGTTGCAGAGAAAAAACATTGAAATCAAACCTAAAGAAATTAATTTCACTATAACACTATTTCTATTATTTAAAAAGATACTTGCCCTTTACTGAAGATAATAGAGAAAGTACGCCAAAATCTTGATTTAAAATCAAGGTAAGTCTGGCCTGGTAGAGCTGCCAAAACATGAATACTTACATGCTGAACTGCAAACTAACTTAGCGCAGAGACAACATGAAATCCTACCTTGAAATTTGGCTTTGTAATAAATAGCTGAGTCTCAGCCAGTCACAGAAGCTGCTCTGCAGTCAACCATAGGCATCCAATGATTCAAACTGTGTTCAACTAAGGCAAATGTAGAGTTGTAAGCAGTCTGGCAGTTTTTGTATTTCACTTCAATTTTCTGTATGCCACTTCATTTGCTCTTGCAATGAATATAATCTGCACATGTGATGAGGTGGGGCCTTCTGTATCACTTTTGATCCAGACTGTCACTGGGTTCAAGAATTGCAGTTAAAGATAATTAATATCTGGAAAACTAGATTTTTTGATATTTTTTGTGTTTTAATAGTACAATGAAATTTAAATCCCCTCATAATTTTACCACTCCAAGACACAACTATTTGTGCTTCTTTTCTTCTAGTATTCCTTTATGTGTAGAGTCATATATTTAGCAATATCAAAATTGATATTACTAAAGATATAAATACTAATCGTATAGATAATACAGGTATAAATTCATAGACATTAATATTGTAGCATTTTCAAAATTTGAATCAAACTGTCATAAAAATTCTCTCAATTTCTTTGAGAAGAAAGTTCAAATATATACCTGTGAAGTAGCTATAAGTCAACGAAACAAAAATCACTAAATAAGATTGAGTATCTGTATGCCTTAGTTACTTTTCGTTGCTTGGACAAAATATCCAACACCCACAAGTTAAAAGAGGAAAGGTTTCTTTTAGCTCACAGTTCATAGAGGTTTCAGTCCATAGTCAGATGGCTCCAGGGCAAGGCAGAACAGCAAAGGAGCATGGCAGAGGAGAAATAGTCCATGGCAGGGTAGTCATAAGGCAGTGAGTAGCGAGCAGAGAGTCTGCCTTCTTTCTCTCCCTTCATATTCCATCCAGTCTACAAGCCCATTGATTGGTGTCTACACCCAATGTGGGGCTTTCATTACTGACACCTAGAACTATGCTAAACCAATTTAGTTATTACACACTCTTAATCCCAGGATCATGTACCCATAATCCAGCCACTTCCCAAAGCTCCACCTATGAGGCTTTGGGGGTACATCTAAATACAAGCCACAACAGTGTAGCATCTTTAGTAATCTAACAAGTAGTCAGTCACTGGCTTCAATAGACTTTATTATTCCCTTAATTCATATAAGGATTTATAGAAAATAAAGTTAAATTCACATTTGGTCAGAAACATAGAAAGTATAATAGAAAAATCTATCATTAGATTGTTTATTTGAGGACTCATTTCTAACATTTCATTTTGAAATCATTCTTATAATTATTTTGTGTGTATTAGAGTGTATGTAGAGCTAAAAAGTGTAAGATCAGCTAACTGATTAACTATAGATTTATAATTACAAGTAAATTGTATTTGGAAATGTTCCATTCATTATCCTCTCACAGACGTGTTGCTCAGTGCTTCTGATATTAATACTCAAATGAACCCTATTGAAGATACAAACATTTCTGGTCTGAGGAAGGTTGGATCCAAGAAAGTTTCTTAAAAATGGTTATAGAGTCAATTTAAGTTGAGACCAGTTTCATCCTCTCTTAGAAACTTGCAGTGCCCATTAGGCCTTCTACAGTAGAGATACTGTGTTTCTGAAGGTCATGGTCCTGGAAAGATTGGCGGGTGGAGTCCTTTTGTTTGAGTACTACACCATTTTAAGATGGCCTACATTGGATAATTTTACATTTTTACTTCAAACCTTGACAAAATGTAAACTCTTTTCTCCTTTATTTTCCTTGAAGGATTTTTCCTTGGGATTTGACTTTCCTCACAGATAGTGTGGACAAATCTGGAGGGATTAACACTAGTGTTTGCCCATGATGAAGGGACAAGAAAGCAATTCAGAGTATGTGTTACAGGCCTTAGGTCGTTATTCTAGAGAAAACTGTGCTTATTGTTTCCCCATGATTCAGCCTCACTTTGGTGAGAATACATTGGGAACTGAGGGAAAAGCCAAATTATGAAAAACAAGCAATATCACATCTTAGTGAATCTTCTGAAGTTGAGTGAAACTGTCTTGCCATTAGAGAATCTCCAGATTTTTAAGCAGAAGTGGCAAGCAAATGTCGAATCCTTGTCACAGATAAGAAAGGCATATACCTACAGTGAGGAAAGTGTATTATACTTTGGAAAATGAATCAAAAGTGGTTTTGGACTATTATAACTTGACCTATCTTCAAATATTTAATTTTCTATTTTAAAACATTTGTGAAATGCCAATGAAATTTTATGTGAAAGAAGTTTGATAAAAACATGATATAAATTTTATAATAAAAATTTTGAAGACAAATTATTTCCACTCTCATACATTTTTTGATTTTCAAAAATTTCATGTTTAACATAACATAATACATTCTCATACTAAATGTCCTTCTTTCTTGAGTTTTATTAAAAATTAATTAAACAAATAGAATACTATTCCATTGCAATTTTAAAAACCTATGCTTTGACTGCTAACTTTTACCATCTCAACCATTTGATCACCTCAGTCCATCAAGACAGCATTCAAACATATTTGAATCTGGTCCATTTGATGAAAAGAAACAAATAAACAAACAAACACCTTAGCAATTAGATTACACTTGCTGCTGAGTTTGACCATGAATATGGACTGTCATCTAATTCCTGCTTCTGAACTGAGACTGTTAGGCTGACTTCTATTGTTCCTTCTCATCATTAAAATATGCTGTAAACAGAAAATATATCTTTTAAAATGACTCTAATTCTTTTATATTGATATGTTTGTGCTACATAATAATTACATTCATTTGAGGGAATTGGTGTATATATATATATATATAAATAATATATATACATCTTGAACATCTTTCTCCTATCCTCTTCTTCATCTCTAAAATGTCTGCCTTGCTGTTTCCTACCATCTCTCCTTCATTTTATTTTAAAATTTATGTTTTGGGTTTCTCTTATGAGAAACCCTGCGATATTTAACCTTCTGAATGTGACTTATTTCACTAGATATCACAGTCTCAAGATCTGTCTATTTTCCTACAAATGATTCCAATTCATCTTTCCTTATAGCTGAGTAAAATTCTATTGTGTACACATACCGTGTTTTCTTTGTCCATTTGTCTGTTGATTTCCATTCAGGCTGTTTCTGTAGTTCACCTATTACTACTTACACTGCAAAAAATGCATGCATGGATGTATCATTATAGTATTATTTCTTTTTGGAGGGGGGGTTACACAGGAGAGGTATCCTGGGTCAAATGGAATTTCAATTTTTAGTTTTTTGAGGAATCTCCATTCTGATTTTCCTAGTGGTTGTACTGGTTTGCATTTCTACCAACAGTACAGAAGGGTTTTCACTACATCCTCACCAGCACTGTTTTTTTGTGTTCTTGATTATAATTGTTCTGAATGGAATCTCAGTGTGGTTTTGATTTGCATTTTTCTAATGACTAAAGATGATGAACATTTTTTCATGTACTTATTGGCCATTTGTACTTCTTTGAGAAGTGTCTGTTCAGTTAATTTGTCCAGTTTTGATTGGGCCTTTTAATTTGGACAGACTAATTTTTTAGTTCATTTTATATCCTCGATATTAGTCCTTTAGCAGAAGACTAGCTGGCAAAATTTTGTTTTTAATTGTGTAGGTTTTCTTTTCACTGTTGACTTTTTTTTTTGGCTTTGTAGAAGCTTTTTAATTTAATATAATCCCTTTTGCTGTTTTTGTTGTTTAAAAATGACTGTAATTCTAAAGATATGCAAGTATGCAACAATAATATTCTTGGTGTTTAAAGATATTTGCCTGACAATATTTTTACTATCAATCTCCCTTATCCGGAATGGTGTAACAGAGCACTGAGTCCTCTACAGGAAAGCTTCCAAGGCACTCCCCCAGGTCCCCTTGTTGCTATAAAGAAGGAATGGTTCCCATTGGCTTTCAATGTAGAGTTTTTCTGTGGCAAAGGGCTTGTCCCTGAAGTTTTTAGTAGTGCTTCTCATTTTAAGATTAATAGGCAAATGAGAGGTAATTTCAAACTTTGCTGAGGGAGTCTCAAGTGTCTTGTTCATTGTCTGAATTTTTCAACTCTTGCGAATCCTTCTGCTGTTTTCCCAAATGTCCAAAATATTCACTAAGTTAGCAAGTGTGTCATGTGGTGTTGCAATTGACACTAAATCTGTAGAATAACAACTTGACTTTAGGTAGTAGATAAATCCTGTGGGTTACATTTATCAGAGGTGTGAAAATAGCCACAAAACACAAAGTCAATAACACTCCATTTATTTTGCTGATAAGTTGTCTCATGGAGTTTAAACTTTTAAAACTTTAATTATGGAATATTTGGTTTATCATCACTGGAAAGAAAGCATGTCTTTGAGTTGTTGCTTGTCATTACATCTGCAGTTCCGAATGTGCTTTGGAGCTAAGTGTGGAGCTAAACTGGCTGATTGGTATTGGTGCACCAGACCTCAAGTAATATTGTGATGGTTGCTCACTGGTCAATACATTGTAGATAGAAATATTTGCTCCAGAAGACTACAAGATTTTAACATTATTTTTAGGTGCTAGTGCTCACTTCTTTCATCATCTCTTACACCTGATCTTTTCCAAAAACGTAACTCTGGATTTAATCCAAACATTTAGGAATACATTTTAAGCATACACATTCACGTGCATCTGTGCACACAAACATGCGCACATTTTCTGCCAATTTTATCTGATTTGAACTTCCAAATAATAAAAGTCATGTATAGTCAAAGGCCAATGCTCGGATTATGCCTACAAACCTCTGGAAATTCTACAGTATAGTTGAGGTTTTCTACTGTGCAAGATACTTACACAATTTTGTTAACTCCCACAATTCTCCCCAAGTTTACAAATGTAAAATCTTTAATTGCTCACTTAAAATAAACTTCTATAGTACTGGTTGTGAATTTGAATTCAGCTTCAACTTACCAGTTGCCGTTATTTTTTTCCACTACCTGGTTACTTACAATTAACCTTATTTGGTTTAATCTTCACCAAACTTTAATAAATGCCTAGAGTGCTTCATCATTTCTATAAAGAGGAATTCATTCTTTGCTAAAGAATTTATTCAGAAATTTGGCACATGATTTAGTTTCTGTCTTTGGCACTAGACTAAAATAGGTAATGTAATTATAATAATTTTAATAATAAACTCACATTTTACTATTTTAAACAGATATGAAAACTCGGTCTACTATGTAATGGTCAAATATTTCCAAAGGAGCAATATATAATTTTGGAGCTCTAAAA